CCCTCCACCTTTCAAAACCGATCTGTGCTCTTCCCTGGGTATGACATTAAACTACATCGAATCGGCTCCTGATGTATGTCTATAGTGACTGCTGTTTATTTTTAGGATGTGATCTGCTTTTTCATGTACATTTTTCGTGATTATGACTATTCTGGATAAAGAATGTTTTGAGCAGAGTTGGATTCAAGGCCTCCCCCCCCACCCCACCTTCATTTTTTTAAGGAAAAAAAAAAGAAAAATATATTCAAATTAAAGTGCGAGAGTATATTCAATTTGAAGTGCGAGAGTGTAATTTCCGGCCATCTAGAGATGCCCTAATTATAAATTTTCTTGCCTCAGCCCCAACCATGGTGGGGCTGAGGTGGGTGGTTCCTCGGTCTGTGAAAGTCCCTCCCTGGTTCACCTCTCTTTCGAATTCCTGGATCTGCCATTGTTGATTTATTATATTATTTTTGCGCTTATGTATAATGCGTCTATTGCAATTTTCACTTTATCCTCTCAAACAGTCCTAAGAACGTTCAGAGTGCGCTACTTCACAGGGGGATTCTCCCCCTTGACCCTGCCGGGGTCATACGTAATTCGCATAACGGCTTCCCCCCTTTCAAAATCCTGGCTACGTCCCTGAACTAGCACCGATATTATGGCTGTAGGTTGTGGCGCCCCGACCCGATTTAACCGCTCGACCATTTGATCGCCCCCTCATACGATAAGCAAATTGCATTCAACAATAATAAAAACAAAAGCAAAACACATATTCGATCATGGTAACACCATTTAATATAATTATCTGGCAAAATAAAGTATACATTATGTCGTAGAACAGGAGATCAGTATTATAAAGAAAAACAATTTTAATTGTACATCATTATAATTACAGATTTGTACATTACAAATAACAACAATCTTTTAAGTTAAGATATAATTTTGAAGGCGACCTTTGAAAAGGTCAAGGACAGTGAGATTGAGATTGAAAAGAGTTATAATTATTATAACTCCATGGATAATACTCAATATCAATTTCATTACATTTTTTGAATTGACCAGATTATAAAGTACAAGAGAGATCAAAGAAATGACACAAATCAGTTGTGATGTTGGACAAACTGACAAAAGAATGAGGATATGGAGTCGACACAGGTGGTGTCTGGGTATGAACAGTTCTATTTTTTGTGGGGTGTTTAATTAGCAAATAAAGGCAATAGTTGTTTTATCCAGGTAAGTACTGTATTCATGAAGCAGACTACCAATAAAAATCTGGAGGATAGTTAAAACATTACTGAATAAAGGATTCTCTTTCAGTTGCTAAACAAAAATAAAACTATATACATATAGTTTAATTATCTTTTGCTGTTACACCTCTTTGTACAATACTATAATTAGGAAGATATATAGACCATAAGAATACCTGATATGTAACAACCAATTATATAATGGAAAACTCACTTTAAACCTGTATGAGCCAACAGAAAATACAACAGGAGGTTGTATAATCATTTTTATGTGGAACTGGTAACATGGTATAGAATATGTTATGCGATTGGGAAAAAAAATAATATCATTCAACTTCAAATATTATCATTGAATGTTATTTACAGGATAGTTTTAATTGAATTATTCAACTTAAAATCTTCAGAATATAGGCATAATATTTAGTAGGACTACATCAACATGCATCTGCTACAAATTCAAAGCTAGGCCTAGCGTTCCACTTGAACCAGGGCAGGGAATGTTCTCATACGAAGCCTCTCCACCTCCGCTCTCAGTACAGCAACCTCTTGGGCTTGAGCTTTGGCTAGATCCACCAGCTTCCTTCTTTGAACTATGTCTTTCATTCTTTTTTCAGCTCCAGTTTCATCTCTAGCTAAAGCTGTAAGAATGAAAATTATTTCTGTCATTAAATGGGTTAAAAAAGATAAAAAATGAGGTCACTGGAGTTATAGCCAACAACAATTAATTGGACATATTAGCCGTAGGACAGACAACAGATGGAGTACAGCTCTAACGGTCTGGACACCACTGGACGGGAAAAAAAGAGGGGAAGACAGAAAAAGAGATGGAGAGATGAAATAGATCAGTATTGGGTTGATGCAAGCTGGTGTAGCAAAGCAGGAAACAGACAAATTTGGAGGCAGCATACTAAGGCTTTTGTCCTGCAGTGGATTGGCAATAGCTATGATGAACAATTACTTTTAGGATTGAAGTAGATTTAGGATAATTTTTATGGTGTTTGATGCTAGTGTTTATCTACTTTGTCTTAACAGTTAATGTTGCAACATTTACTTGACCAACGACATGATGATGAAATAAAACAAATTCTTGATCTTTTAAGTCTTCACCAGATGCAGTGATGTTCTTAGTTTACATATCTGAAGCTCTGTCAAGACTTTCAGATTTTCTTCTATAAAAAACTGGCATATGCCAATATATAGTCATGATGTGCCTATATATGGTCATGAGATAATATCATCATGACCATATTTAGGCATGTCAGATGTTTTTGTCAAACAAAATTTGATAGTCTGGACAGGGTTTTAGTGGCCTGTTAATTTAGGTTCATAGTTTATTTCCTTGGATTTCCTCTTACGTTGTTGTTAATCACCTCAGGGTTGTCTCAACGTAAAGCGATATATGAATCTTGAATTATTATTATCATCATCATTATTATTCTTTATTTACTTACCATTCACTTCATTGATGTGTTTCCTTTCAGATACTGACACAACCATTTCTTGCAGCTCTCCCTCCACTTTCTTATTCTCATGTTCCTTCCTATGGATGATTTTCCGTAAAGTTGACAGGCTGGATTTCTTTTCCTTGACATTTTTCTCATGGTGCTAAGAAGAATAATTTGAATGAGTGTTTAACATGAAAATGGAGACAAGATAAAAAACATAGTATTCAACAACATTAGTGT